CCCCAAAACCCCAAAACCCCAAAACCCCAAAACCCCAAAACCCCAAAACCCCTGGAAATATTTTAGAAATTGATTAAAATATTATACAAATAATTTACAGATGGAAAGCAAGACTCAGAGAGATGGAAGGTCATTTGAGGGTCTTTTAGAAAACTTTCAGTGCAGTTTGGGGTCTATAAGGATGATAGACAGCCTCATACTTAAATCTAACCTAGGTCCTTATTTTAAAGTAGTTGATAATGGGAAAGCATTTAAGAGAACGAACTCACTTGCAGGCATACGTTCCCAGTTTGGGTAAGATTTAAGACATATTTGATACCTTTTTGGAAAATTTGAGGGATTATAAGAGTATAGAAGTCAACAAAAGATAGATAATAGTACACTCAAGCCTAAGAGCACAGCCAAATCCTCCATCTTTGATTATGGTAGGGATAAAAAGAAGAAAAGGTACCTATTTCGATGATTACAACTCCTAGCTATTCGATGGAAAAGATTGGCAGACTCAAGAAAATTAATTTCAAGGTAATTCTAAACTTCATCTCTAGAATTTATTGAAAAACACAGATGTTCCTATGAAGGAGGAAGAAGATCAGAAAAACTCAAAGTCTAGCAAGGTCTCTGTTGGTCATCGAAAGCCAAGGCAATTTGTATCTCTCAACTCTTTCTTTACTAAGAAAATCAGTTCAAGCAAATATAGGAGAATGCATCAGTCCAAGAGACGTAACTAAACAATCATATTTAGAGAAAGGCAGGAAGAGCCAAAACACACAAAGAAAGACGTTGAGGAATGAGATATTAACTTTAAATAATGGTCAGTTATAGTTTCTTTAAAACCACCTAGCCTATCCTTGAAACCAAAGTTTCTCTAGAATAATTTTATACATACCAAATTTTATCTAAACATCTCGGATATTAATAATCCCATATCCTCAACCAAGCACATACATCTCTTTTCATCAAAAACATTTAAAGCAAGCTCTAAAATTATTAAATTTCTCAAAATCTTGAATCGAACTCTCCTAAATCCCAATAAAACTCAAAATTTGATCTAATTTCTACTAGACCTAGCAATGATTGACTTGAACAACAGACTAACCAAGAGTAAAATTTCCTCCATAATTCATAGCTAAAAACCCGAATTCTCCGCCTTCAGGCTCAAATAAGGGCAAATTTGAGTACAAAGTCTCTATGCTAGAAGTCAACAAAGAGAGCATCAAGTAACGTAAAGCTCAAACTTTAGAAACAAAATCAAGAAGCTTGATAAAGGGTTTGGGAAACAAGCCCTCAAGTTCTCCATGAAGCAACGGTATGGTTTGAATGTAACCCATAGGCCCAGTACGACGACTAATAGTAAGACCAGGAGGTCCCTTATGGAGCCAAAGTCTCTAATCGGAGGTAAGGGTTAAGCTACAACTATCTTGGTTACTATTTTAACTTCCAGCTGTTTGTCAATTAACTCTTGGATAGCTAAGGATACTTCGGGTAAAGAATACCCATTGTTCAGGAAGACGACTCATGAGAGTCCCCAAATAACCAAGGCTAAGTTCTCTGAAACTGGTGAAAGAAGTATGAATTTTGATATATCTCTAGAATCAATATCAGCTTTGAGGCCTGGTTCGGACAATTCCTATCTAAATGTTAATTTTTCGCTGGCATCATCACAATCGGTAAGAAAGAGTAACGAATCCTCTAGAAATTTCCTGATTTTAACAACTCAACTCGCATCATATTTTTGCCGATGAATGGAGGGTCCCAAGCTTACTCCTTAGTCACAGGTATTCCAAGGAGTGATCCTAGATTTGAACTATAAACATTGTTCAATATCAGTACCTTATCTCGGGGTTTTGGGGTTTTGGGGTTTTGGGGGTTTTGGGG